AGTTATGTAAACGACGAAACATTTACGTTGCCAGACCATGTAATGAGTAAAATTATATAAAGTTGCTTTAAAACATTGTGGTCCCAGGGAACTGTGTGCTCCGATACTCTCGAGGTTCACACCTCACGGAGAGAGTGGATTGACAAGTGTACTAATCGAAAATGTCCTCAATTTTACGTTAAGCGGATGTATGCTAAGGGTATGTACATTAAGCAGCTGTATGCTTTTCAGTAATACCGATTTTCAAGAAGGGGGATAGATCACTATCCTCTAACTACCGCCCAATCAGCCTAACATCAATAGTAGGCAAACTACTAGAATAAATCATTTCAAACTCTATTCGAAACCACCTGGAGAAGCACAAGTTGATCAATGATTCCCAACATGGCTTCACAAGCGGGCGTTCATGTCTAACTAATCTATTAACATTCTTTTCATCAGTTTTCGAATCGGTGGACGAGGGGCACAATTATGATGTGGTATATCTCGACTTTAGTAAAGCCTTCGACAGAGTCCCCCAAGAAAGACTAATTAGAAAGGTAGAAGCACATGCCATCAAAGGTAATATCCTTAAATGGATTAGGGCGTGGTTACAGGACAGGAAACAGCGAGTGAGCATTAACGGCACTAAGTCCCATTGGAGCAACGTCACTAGTGGAGTTCCCCAAGGCTCAGTACTTGGACCATTATTATTTATTATATACATAAACGATATAGATATCGGCATAGAGAGCAACATAAGTATATTTGCTGATGACACTAAAATAGGACGTGTTATTAAATCTGACGAGGACTCCGCAAAACTTCAGGAAGATCTAAACAAATTTTTCGAATGGTCTGAAAAATGGCAGATGAAATTCAACGTGGACAAATGTATAGGAGATGTAAACAGGGAAACCAGATACCAGATGAACAACGATGCCATAGAGAAATCCGACTGCGAGAGAGATTTAGGAGTAATGATAAGTAGGAACCTTAAGTCAAGTAAACTGTGTTTTTGCTCGTAACAAGGCTAATAAAGTACTTAGGTTCATACTAAGGAGTGTTAGTTACAAGACTAGCGAGGTCCTCCTAAAACTGTATCTTGCGCTTATGAGACCACACCTGCATTACGCAGTTCAGTTCTGGTCACCGTATTACAGAATGGATATAGAATCTTTGGAAAGAATTCAGAGGAGAATGACAAAACTAATCCCGGGCATTAGGAACCTTGAGTATAGAGACAGGTTAAAGCATCTTAATTTGCACTCCCTCGAGAGACGTAGAGCGAGGGGCGACCTGATAGAGGTGTATAAATGGAAGTCAGGGCTAAACAAAGGGGACATTACAAAGGTACTCAAACTATCCAACCAGGAGCGAACTCGTAACAATGGTTTTAAATAAGACAAATTTAGATTTAGACGCGAAATAAGTAAATTTGGAAACAGAGTAGTGGATGAATGGAACAAGTTTCCAAATATCATCATTAACTCGAATACGCTGAATCGCTTCAAACATAGGTTGGATGCTTATATGAGCAATAGGGGTTGGGTGTAAACGGGACTGCCCAGTATGGGCCAATAGGCCCGCTGCAGTTTCCTCCATTCTTATGTTCTTATGTTCTATGTAATTCAGGTGTAGATCAGGTGCAAGTGAATTGTAGGTCAGATGTAGATCAGGAAAGTCAGCACAATCACTCAGCCTTGTGATGGTAGTGTAGACCAGGTGAAGGTTAGGTGTAGGTTAAGACGGTCAGCACCATCACTCAGCCTTGTGGTGTAGGTCAGATGCAGGTTAGGTGTGTGTCAAAAAGGTGAGCACCATCACTCAGCCTTGTGGATGTAGGTGGTTTACTCGTAGGTAAGGTGAAGGTCAGGTGTTGATTCAGATGTAGGTCAGGTGCAGATCACGAAAGTTAGCACCCTCACTCAGCCTTGTAGTGGTGGTGTAGGTTAAGTGAAGGTCAAGTGCAAACCAAGAAGGTCAACCCCATCACTCAGCCATTTGGTGGTGATGTAGGTCAGCTACCACCGCTGGCTAGCACTCGTGGCGAACAAGGAAGCAACTTGCATAAGTCTTCCCCTGCCAGTACAAAGCCTCTTCACTATTAAGACTCCTGCTGTGCCTCCTCGTGGCAACACACGGTAACTGGGTACCTCGTGGGCCCAGGCTAGACCAGCAGGGGATCTCGGAGCAGCAGTGGGCCCCAGAGGGACTGCGCATAGGCCCTCTGGCATGTTGACATGTCCTGGCGCCTGCCAACCATTGCCCCACTACCTTGCGGATTAACCTTGGTAGGTATAAAGCTACGGAAGTGAACCTGCAACGAAAAATCTGTGGTAGAGCCCCGCATCAGGTAAACATGCTTCCAGAGCTCCAACAAGACGCCAACGGCGGTATAGGCAGAAAAGGTGACCACCGTGGGAACTCAACGACTACACCGGCGGACGAAGGCAAAGCATGATGGACAGGCTATTAAGGCGAAACTCAACATTACAAATCTCCCTCTCCCCAGTCGTTGCAACACTGGCTCAGGAAAAGGGAGATCCAAGATGTGTGGTTGCAGCCTTCGCTCCTGCCTCACCACATAAATCAACTCACACGCATCCAGCTCATCATACCTCTCATCATCATCATCAAAACCCCTTTACCCCCAAAAGTCCTATGGCGACAGGGACAGGCAGAGATGACTGCCAATAGTCTCTAGTCACAACTCTGCACATGGGTGGCATAGATAAGATGGTCGTTTATGCACTGGGATATGGGCAGCAGTTATGTGCAACGTAGGATAGAAGTACCCTTAACAACCAATTACTAAATGAGCTGTATACCCCTGCCAGACGTACTGTAAATGAGTATGTTTTATATATATATATATATATATATATATATATATATATATATATATATATATATATATATATATATATATATATATATATATATATATATATATATATATATATATATATATATATATAAATATATATATATATATATATATATATATATAAATATATATATATATATATATATATATATATATATATATATATATAAATATAATATATATATAATATATAATATATATATATATATATATATATATATAAATATATATATATAAATATAAATATATATATATAAATATATATATATAAATATATAAATATAAATATATATATAAATATATAAATATAAATATATATATGTATATATCAGTGGCGTGTATTCATAAGAAGCAAGGTAAGCATTGCTTACCCTATAACAAAGATTCCCTTCCAAATAAAAATATCTTATTTAATTAACATATTATTTAATTCAATCGTGTATAGCAGTGGTTCTCAACCTTGTTTGCCCCATGCACCCCTTTCACCATATGTCAGAATGTCATTCCCCCCTCCTTTCAAAGATTGTCTGCCTCAAAAAGTGCATTCCAAATAATATGAATATAATACTGAAAATCCTTTATTTTTTCCATATTAGTACATATACATTTACAATTTTACATGGATTATTTTTATAGTAGAGTTTTACAAATTAAATGCCAATTGAAAATGTTGATGGATTTATAAAACTTGAATAAAAGTAAAATAGTTTTTTTTTTATTTATGATGAATTACTTAACAGACCAAACTGAAGCATAATGCAATAAACAAAAAGTTCAATAGAATACCAGGATATTGTAAATTTGTAATTAATTTTATTCAGATGACGATTACAGTCAATGAGAAACCTGTGATTGTTTTTTCTTCGCCAATTCTGGGATACGCGGAGGAGTGCTTGAAAGGGCACAACGCAAGTCATTTTCTACCTCTAATCTACTACGTTGCTTCGTTTTAATTTGCAACAGAGTTGAAAAGCCTGACTCACAAAGATATGTCGACACAAACGGAAGCAATGCACGGATAGCTCTTTCTGCCACTTTTGGGTAGGAATCGCACATCAAGGGCCAAAATTCTGTGATTGATTTCTCATCGAACATATCTCTTGCTCCCGAATCAGTTTCCCCCCCCCTGAAAACCTGAATTCCCCCCCTGGGGGGAATTCCCCCCTGGTTGAGAACCCCTGGTGTATAGCATTGTGCATTTTTTTTGTCCCAGTTAATTTGTGAAACTTGCAAGACGGGCATTTTCCGCTTGAAAATCTATCCCTCAAGTACGCAATATTCCACTGCAGTACCCTCGTTCCCCCACGCTCACAGCGTCAATGGTATGCCATTGCCAGACGTAAGATGAGAACAAATAATTTAACTTATGTTACTCCCCTTTTTCCAAACCCATGTAAATAAGGTTCAGATCAATTTAATAAGCTGTGGAAAGCATTCTGATGCTGGAATGTCCCCTCAATAATATTTGTTATTATCAGTCAGTATAATTAATTGTGCTAGAAATTTGGACAACGTAAGCACAGCGTCCTCCCTGGTCCCCCTCCCCCACCCCCTATACTCGCTGCCAGCAGCACCGCAGCATTACCAGTTCATTAATTTTTTTTTCAATGATAAATTCGTATCCATAAATAATAATTATCTGACCTTTTTTATGTTTCACAGTTTCGTAGACTATTGGACTCATTATCATAGTACTTGAATAATGTCATTGTCATTTTGGAATAATATAATAAATTAATAATGGCTATAAATTTTTTTCGAATTGATAGATTTTGTTTTGAAAGAGATGGTATCACTGTATGAGGCTACGGTCTATGTCAACACTCAACGTAAGAACTTCAGTTGACTTTCAGAGGTCATGATGTGTGAGTGCGACGCGTTTATTTGGATTAATATACCCCCAAACTGAAAATGCAGTCGCAGGAGGAGCAAAGTTCAGCATGTGCATGCACTGTATGTGATCTACTAAAGAATTCTTTTAGATCTCGTGACTTTACAAGTAAGAAAGTTATTGTGGAAAATGGCAGGCATATTCCTAAATTGAGCATTAGCCACTCGTTGGAATTATGCATCAAGACTAGTTGAAACTGTGTTTGAGTGTAAAGAATCCCTTATCGCTGTATTCGAGAAAATGAGAGATCCCGAATCTGAGTGGGATCAAGAGTCATATAACCGTGCAGGGGGATTTTTATCATCGATGACTGATTTTAATTTTTGCTTTCTCTTAAATCTTTTTGCATCATTTTTCCCATTGTCAGATACACTATTTGATATACTGCAAGCAAAAATTCATGATGTTGGTTATTGTGTCAAAAAAGTGAATGATTTTCGCCTGGCTTTGGAACAGAAGAGAGAAGAGTTTGAGAACATTTGGGAAACAACAAAGAACTGTGATCACATAAATGAAAATGAACCCAGATTAAACAGACAAAAAGGAAATGTTGATGTGAAGACGTCATTCTCACGACTTTATGTAGAAATATATGACACCATACTTAACCAGGTTAATATCAGATTTGCAAATTTGGATTCATTAAGATTCTTAGAGCTTTTACACTCTCCATCATTCTGTGAGTTTACTAAGTTTGGGCAATTTCCAGAGCTTGCTTTTCAATCGCTGAAGTGTAGCTATGATAATTTCTTTGATTTTTTATCACTGAAATCGCAACTTAGAGATGTTTACATGCCAGAGGAATTCAAAGATAAAACTATAACAGAAATTTTAAGTTTCATAAAGCTGAATGACTTGGATAAGGCTTACAATGAAGTAGCAAGACTTTGTGAATTAATTTTAACAGTTCCAGCAACGACTGCATCTGTAGAGCGCAGCTTCTCTGCTTTGAAGCGAATTAAAACGTACTCAAGAAATTCTCAAGGTCAAGAAAGATTGCAAAGTTTTGCCCTTCTATCAATTGAAAAAGAAGTATTGCATAATCTTCAGAGCAAGCCAGAATTTTACACCAAAGTTACTGATCATTTTGCTCGTAAGCCAAGAAGAATTCCATTGAACTATGTTTAAAATGGTAAGTTAAAATAATATTTTGTTAATTACTTCCTTTTTTATAATTATGTTAAATGAATAATAAAATGATATTAATATTCTTACTCCAGCTTCATCAGAGATCTTACCAGCGTCATTTGCTTACCCTAGCATTTATCTCACGACACGCCACTGGTATATATATATATATATATATATATATATATATATATATATATATATATATATATATATATATATATATATATATATATATATATATATATATATATATATATATATATATATATATATATATATATAAATATATATATATATATATATATATATATATATATATATATATATATATATATATATATATATATATATATATATATATATAATATATATAAATATATATATATAAAATATATATATAAATATATATATATATATATAAATATATATATATATAAATATATATATATATATATATATAAATATATATATATATATATATATATATATATATATATATATATATATATATATATATATATATATATATATATATATAATATATATATATATATATATATATATATATATATATATATATATATATATATATATATATATATATATATATATATATATATATATATATATATATATATATATATATATATATATATATATATATATATATATATATATATATATATATATATATATATATGTCATGATCTACCTACCCAGCACCACGAGCAACGCCATCTAGGGACGAAACACAAGTATGACTCGTCTTAGTTACCACTCCCGGGTTTCCCTTCTCCATATCCTGGTTGTTGCTCACCTCCTCAAAGTCTTCTTTGTCAGCTCCAATTCGAGGAGAGAGCACTTCAATCTGGGAAGTGACCACAGGATCACCTATCCTGGAAACCTGCGGCGCAGTGACTACCTACCGTCTTCTTGAATACTCAGCCTTGCTCGTCAGCCATCTCAGCTCCGCACTTAAGTATTTGTAATCTTGTATTGCCTCCCCCACGTCCACTTGCTTCAAATTATTGTATGTTGTATAAATATGTATATACTGTTTATGTTTAGGTTAAGTATGGTTAAGGGTAAATTATAGTTAGCTGAATATTTTGTTAAGGAATTTATGGTACTTTATTATATACAACAAAAGCTCTCATCCTTTGTCTACCCTTTTATAGTCCGATTGTCTTTGTTTTTTTGTTGTTGTTACCTGTTGGGATCTGGGTAGACGTTTAACTATATTATAAATCCCCAACTCGTAACAAATGGCGACCGTGACAGGACTCGACCTTAAGTACCATATTCCTTCCTCCCTTGTTACTCAGTGTTAATTATTCCTCCCAGTCACTTCTGTTCACAATTGCTTTACGGTGGTTTAAAGTTTCCTTCATATGTGTGTGCATATATTGGTATTATCGTACAGTAAGAGTGACAGACGTAGGATATTAGGTTCCAAGTGTCATAAGGCTTACCTGTTATTACACTGGCAGTCGTGTAGTAAGTCTTATCGAGTGTAGGGAAGAATCCGGATCTGTTTAATGCCGTACCCTCACTCCAGAGTAGGCTGTTCCATAGTCACTAGTTTAGGGTGAAGTGATATCTTGGGACGCCCCGCTCTACCAGGACCCCATAATTATAAAGCCCCAATTATTGTTCTTCTCATTATCTCATTCAGGGTCAATCATACCAAACTCCAGGGTTGTTAATCCGGATCTTTATATAAATGCCGTAATACGCCCTTCCTCTTTCAAGTATATCAGGGTTGTTAATCCGGATCTTTATATAAAATGCCGTAATACGCCCTTCCTATTCCAAGTCTCTTATTCTTATTTAAGGATCTTATCACAAGAACAATATTCATAAGTGTAATTTCCCTAGGTATAACTTGGTTAGTTTCCGGGACTTTCTGGTTATCCACTGCCGTGATATTTTCTAGGGTAATCCACATATCTTATATTTTGATCATTAATTAATTTATCTATGTTTTCTTAACAATGGCCACCCCAGGATTTGTTAAATTTGGTAGTCCTGGAGGAGTGGAAGAGCAAGATACCATTTCACATCTTGAAGCATGTGGAGGAGCGCGGAGAGGTTAATTTAGGACGTGCTGCTGAGTTGGCTGATGAGTACGCCTTGCTGGTGGAGTCACTGTGCCGTAGGGAACGTGGTACTTTCCAACATGTTAGGTCCGCCTCTGATGATAACCTTGGGGACGTGAGTGGTAGGTCGAAAGGTCCCACACCTACCCCCCTGATGCAACCAAGTTTACTTGTTCTTACTGTAAAAACCCAGGCCATACGATCCAGACTTGTAAACACCCAAAGTGTCGAATTGCTAAAAGTAGTTCCCTGGAACCCAAATCCAAACCAATAGCAAACACCAATGTGGAAAGGCCCCATCAGGATCTCTTCTCTTCATTCACCTATGAGGGAAAAATTTCAATCATAGAGGGGTCTCGTTCTTTCCCTATTCGTATACTACGTGATACGGGCGCAGCACAATCTATCCTCCTGTTTAACGTCATTCCTGATATATCTACCGCATTTACTAATGAGTGTTCTAATTTCAGATCTCTCATCCCATTCTTCCTATCCTTTAGCTAAAGTGCACCTCCAATGTCCCTTGATTACTGGGGAAGTGCAAATAGCCATTAGGAAAGACCCAATGCCTGTGTGCGGCATTCATTTATTATTGGGTAATGACTTGGTAGGAGATCTAGTGGTTCCTAACATAAAGACAGTCGACTCTCCCTTACCTGTCAACTCCACCACTGACCTTAAAGAGACTATTCCTCATCTTTTCCCATCTTGTGCCGTCACCCGGTCACAGAGTGTGCGAAATGGGCCCTCTTCATCTGAAACCACTTCCAATATCTTACTTCCCACAGAAGGTCTGTACAATAAGACCATTAGTAAGGATGAGCTCATTACAGTTCAACAATCTGATCCATCTTTGTTCAAACAGGTGATGAAAGACCTCAGTGTGGACCATTGTACATCTTCGGCTTACCACCCACCGTCCAAAGGTTGCTTGGAACGGTTCCATCAAAACTTTCAAGTCAATGCTAATAAACTATCTCCTCTCAACTATATAGTCCATACTCCTGATCGCAGAAAAGATTCACAACTTGTTCACATTAATCTCATGAAATTTACCATTCCAGGCAGTCAGAGGAAGACATCCCAGAGGCTATAAGCCTACCTGTATTGCATACGGTTTTGTCAGGAGCCGGAGACAGATGACATGGACCTATTGGAGAATTTAGACTTCCCTCTACCAAAAGAGAACCCTGCTAACAGTCACATACTCAACAACTTGAATGAGTATTTTTCTGTTCTGAATCCATCTCGAGCAAAAGATCTCACTAAGTTATTATCAACATTTCCTAAAGTCACGTCAGACCTCCCAGGGTTTTGCAATATACTTAAACATGATATTAAGCTAATCTCCGATGATGTACAACCCATTAGGCAATCAGCATATCGACTAAATCCACCAAAAAAAGAGATTATGAAAAAGGAGGTAGATTTTTTGTTAAAACATAACTTAGCTGAGCCTAGTACCTCCCCCTGGGCTTCACCTTGCCTTCTCATTCCAAAACCCGATGGCACTTTTCGTTTCTGTACCGATTATCGTAAAGTGAACCAGGTCACTGTCTCTGACTCCTCCCCTTTACCTATGATTGAAGATATAATAGACAGCATAGGCGGTGCCAAATTTATCAGTTCCGTGGACCTGTTGAAAGGATATTATCAAGTGGGACTCACGGATAGGGCAAAAATAATCTCGGCATTTATAACTCCATTTGGTCTTTTTCAATATTTGGTTATGGCGTTTGGCTTTTCTAATGCTCCGGCCACATTCCAGAGGGCCATCAACTACCTAATTCAGGACCTAGGTGGGACGTTCGCCTACCTGGATGACCTGGTGGTGGTGTCGGACGGCTGGGACGAACATCTGGTGCGTTTGGAGATACTTTTCGCACGACTGCTAGAGAGTGGATTCACCATAAACCTGGCTAAATCTGCTTTTGGCCGGGCCTCCGTGACTTACCTGGGACATATCGTTGGGCATGGTATGGTGAGACCCAAGGACGCATACGTTAAAGCCATCTTGTCCTTCCCCACTCCAAGGACGAGGAAGGAACTCGTGCGCTTCCTGGGGATGTGCGGCTACTACCGTCGGTTCTGCAGCAACTTCTCCAGCGTGGCCGGACCCCTCACAGACCTTACCAGTTCTGCGGTCCCTTACATCTGGAACCAGAGGTGCGACCAGTCTTTCCACCGCCTCAAAGCCTTCCTTTCCTCCAAGCCTGTAGTCCACCCCCCTGACTACACCTTGCCCTTCCATCTGCAAATCGACGCTAGCGGTGTCGGAGTGGGGGCTGTGCTCCTACAACCCGACCCAACCACTGATGTCCTTCACCCTGTGGCATACGACTCCGCCAAGTTGAAAAAACATCAGACCAACTACTCGACCATAGAGAAGGAGGCCCTGGCTCTGGTGTTGGCAATAAAGAAGTTTGAATGTTACCTCCAGTCTTGCCCACAAACAACCCTCGTCTTCACCGACCATAACCCACTCACGTTCATCCAAACCAACAAGACCTCCAACCAGCGAATACTCCGCTGGGCTCTCCTCACCCAGCCCTATAATCTACAAGTCCAGCACATAAAGCGGGTGGACAACCTGATTGCAGACTCCTTATCCCGAGCTCCAGTGGAAATGCAGCAGCTACTCTCCAGACGCACCAGGTGATCACCTCCTTCGCGCCCGCGCTACGGAGGTCTTTGGAGGGGAGGTGTGTTACGGACCCCGCCACCAATTGTCATGATCTACCTACCCAGCACCACGAGCAACGCCATCTAGGGACGAAACACAAGTATGACTCGTCTTAGTTACCACTCCCGGGTTTCCCTTCTCCATATCCTGGTTGTTGCGTCACCTCCTCAAAGTCTTCTTTGTCAGCTTCAATTCGAGGAGAGAGGACTACACTC